TCGTCGAAGTATCTCGAAGTCTCGAAATTTTCCAATTCCATTCTCGCGCGACGTCGGCGACTCCGCGATATTCCCGCAGCGAGCGCTCGCTGCGCTCGGTGGAGGTAAAACCATAGATTTCCGGCAAAATCTCATATCTCTTTGCTACTTAAAGAGGGAAAGAAAGGGGGAGAGCGAGAGACGTATGGTGCTTTCCGCATTCCGAGCGTGTCGGGATCGAACGCCGCGGCGCGTACGGCGAATTAATGCGCGTGCAACGGGATTTTCTTATTCGGCAGGCGTCGGCCTGCTGCCGCGACACGCTCTGTTTGGCTAACGAGGCGGCGGACGTGGCGGACCTTTAATTGCTTTTAATAAAGCCCAGCTCGCGGCCACGTTCTCGCCTGCTCGCGCGGCCAGGGAAGAGAGGTGGGGTTGAGCGAACAGGATCGCTTCGAGAACGCGTTTTCCCTCGCACCTACGTCGTCGCGACAGCGCGGGGGCGCGTCTCTCTCGGCCTTATTAGAGATTAGAGGCGGTGCAGGGTCCCGGGTATCTGGGTCGCGTTTTGCGAGCCTTAAGGACTGGCAAGGACTCCGGTGCGAAGCGTGTCAAGGACGACCAGGAGGAAGCGGTCCGCCCGGCGAACGAGTGAGCGAGCGAGTACCGACTTACCGTCCAATTATTGTCAATTGTGAGACAAGTGCCTCCGATTGCGCAACCGCTCATTCGTTAAGCCGCGCGCGCGCCATCGACAGAGGGAACTCATGAATTATCCGTTAATAGAGCGTCGACGGAAGAGAGGTACGGTATCGGTCGATAGAGCGGGTAGGCAGGTAGCTCCTTCGCCGTGCCGGGGAAGAAATTGCGCGAGAACCGGTGGTGGACTCGCTGCGAAAACGCTGCAGCGCGAATTAGCGCGGTGAATCGTGATGCGATCGGAACGTCCGTGTCGAAGCCTTGAAATTGACGACATCGTCGGTCGGGATGAATACGTCGAGTGGAATTCCATCCGAAGAACATGCCCGCTCTTATTCCAGTACTCTGACGCCTCGAACGGTCGAATTATCTCGGCAACTCTGTCGAGAAATCAACGAGAGCGAAGAGAACCGGGGGAAAAAATTCTATCCGGTGATCACTTGCGCTCTTTGAGCGCGATCCGACGCTTCGAACTGTCGAATGATCTCGGTGATTCTATTAGAAAGCAAAGAAGACGGAGGAGGAGAGAAAATAATCCGATCCGAAGAACGCTTCCCCTTCGAGTTTGTCAAGCGTGATACAATGTCTCGAATTGTCGATGTAAAGAGAGGGAAGAGAAAACGCGTCGTGCAAATTTTCACCCGACGGTGACTGGGAGAAATTTCACCGAACGGGGTGACGACTCATTGTGAAATAACAACATGGAGTCGATCGTCGGGCTACACAACGCGTCGGCGCATTGTTTCGCGATGATATTCGCCGATGTGTTTTAGTAACCGGCGATTTACGGTCCGGTAGGCTCGTGCTGCTGCCGAGCTACGTGACAATCAACACACCGGAAGTTAATTGTGGACGCGCGACGGACCCGACCGGAAATCGTGCAAACCCGGACGGAAAGCGATTAAACAGAGCGCAGTCACGCTCGTCGAAAGATAGAGAGCGAGAAAGAGAGAGAGAGAGAGAGAGAGAGAGAAAGAGGGAGATTCATTCAGCCGGTGAAAAAAGTTGGAATTTCATTCGCGAGAGACGGCTGCTCGCGAACGAGCGCGAACGTCGAGATATCGATATCGACTTGCCTCTCTTGGGGCATCGGGCATCGGAGCGACTTTCGATTAGCCTTGCGCTTTTCAGCGTTGCGTTTTCCTCGATGACCGAGTAGCTGCGATCACGGCCGGCGCGATAACTGGACCGTGAATCCGGTGTTTGACATTCTTATACATGAAATAGTGTGGAAAGTGTCTCTCTCTCTCTCTGTTTTTACGCGCTCGTGCGACGTCCTCCGCGCGGCGGGAGAATTCAGCGGATCGAGAAGCAGGTGCCTTCTTACTCCTTTCGCGGTGTATTTTCTAAGTGTTACTGGGATATGAGGGATTCGATGTGAAAGTAATTTTTCAAAAAGAAGGAAAAAGGGGCCAAATGTGTGCGCTTCCCTCCTCAAAGAAAAAGAAAATATTAGACGATCGATCTTTTGGACGCTTTCGTCTCAGAGTTTATTTGATCGTTTCATGTTAGGTCTTCCTCTTAGCTCGAGCTAAGACGGAATTATCATCTTAACTCTTAGATTTCAGGGGCTAAGATGAGATCGAAGAGTTACGATGGAATCATCTTAATTCTTCACTTTAATTCGGAATAGGGTGAAATTATCAGTAAAATGAATTCCGGGTTCGCTTACTCGCTCGCTCGCTCACTCCGACATATGTTTAGACATCGAGCGTTTTTGTCGGGGATTCTTTCGTTTAGCCCGTACAAGGAAGCGCCATAATTTTCCTGAAGGAGAGAGGCTCGGAACGCCGTTTCGCACTCCTCTTTTTCTCTCTTACAAGTGAGAGAGAGAGAGAGAGAGAGAGAGAGATATGGTAGGCTGCCTTTATTTCTCCATAAAGCCGAGTGAATTCTCGTTCTTGTCGCGGCCGGCAGTAGCGAGAAGAGAAAGAAAGAGAGAGAGAAAGACGATCGCCTCGTTTCTAGGTTGCCACGCAATGAGATATCGCGCGTCCTCTCGCTCTGACGAGGAAACGAGAAGACGATGTATTACTTCTTCGCAAGAGCGGGCTTTTTGCCAAGTTCGGCTATGCCGTTCCTTCGCAACGGTCGTTATCTACGCGGCATTATCTACTATTATTACGACGACGACCGCTGGCATAACGCGGGTGCCAAATTATCGCGCACTGATTGCCGCGGATAAGCGGTCGGAGAGCACGTACGCCGTGCTTCGAGTCCTCGGATCGACAAACACACGCAGATTTCCTTAAGCGGTTGTTGCGTTACCCTACGTAGCAGTCATGTAATCTTGCGTAATTAGACCTTATCTTGCATGAAATAGCGTCGAGCACGCATCTGCGTTACAGGTACACTGTAAATGATAATTCTTCCGTGTGTGATCATTCTTTGTGGTCCTCGATGCGTGCTTCGAACGATAAGATGCGGGAAATACACGCGACATCGGAAAATCGCCAGGTATTTATCAGCGAAATTATATTTTGCGCGATTCGAAGTCTCAGAAGTCCGTATTAGTAATTACGATTGGAAGCTCGTATTACGCAGGACACTCGGATCTGAATTTAGATTTTTGAATTCAGCATTAGAGATCGGGATTTTTTTAATTAAATCATTCTCATTGAGTCACACTATATTTATAATCGCGATTAGCAACTGAAAAGCTCGCATCTAACTTCGCATCAGACTCTGATTCTCTCACGTGTGGGACGAGTAGTTCCACAGATATTATTAATACAGACTTCAAAGCCCGCGTGTCGTTTAGATTTCCCTGTGAAGTCGACCCTGCGACGATCACGTACGATATCAAGCAGGACGACCGCGAATGCGGGGTCGAGAAAGGGCTTCCGAAGCATTCAGCTCCCATTTAAATAAATGTCCCTTAATGAAACCGTCGATGCGCCGCGCGCGCGCGCGCGCGTATCGTCCGCATTCGCCTCGGCTGAATTAGGTGGGAAGCACTCGAGAAATGCGCGGGAGATTAAGCGGCGCGCTATTACGCGACGGTTCTCTTATTTTCGTAATACCGCGGTGCGCGCCGGCGGATATAGAGGGTAGAAAATACAAAAAGAGAGAGAGAGAGAGAAATAAGCAGAACGGATGCGCGTCGGAGAAAGGAAGCGGCGTCTGTTTGGTGACCGAGGAATGCCCGATACACTTGATGAATGCCTGATGCTTCGAGATTCCCCGCAGATAGCTTCCCGCTCACACGTGACTCTCGTTTCCACGTGAATGGCCGCCGCCCTCCATCTCCTTCTCTCCTTCGCTCTCCTTCCCTTTCTCCCTCTTTCGTCTCGTCTCTATTCTTCTCCGACGCGCATCGCTGCTGTTTCCTCTCACTTTTCTCCATCTCGAATACCCCCCTGAGATCCTCCCCCTCCTCTTCTCCCGTCCGCTCCTCGTCTTAGGACGTAATAACAGACCTTTCGTGAAGGGTCCGCCGGATGGGCGCATCGAAACTCGAAAGTTTGATTAGCTCCCGGTCCATCCGAGGTTTATTTTGTAGACACGATACGTGGCGTGGCGGAGCTTGCTTCTTATTCTCGTTGTTCGACCCACGTTACTAGTTACGGTAGGAAAAAAAGGCGGGCCTTTACGGCGCCGACAAATCGGTACCGTTCTGCCTCGTGAAATCGAGTCGAGTCGTGTCATAATAGCGCGCGTCGGATTCCTCAGTCTGTTATCCCGTAACGCCTGTCTCTCCCTTTTCGCTCTAGGATTATTTCTATTTTGACAGATTACGGCGCATAATGTAGACCTCTCTTTTACCATTCCACATTATACCCGTAAATCGTTTAATTCACGATCGACTCCCGGAATGAATTTCTCATCAGGAGAAATTTCATCAGGAGACACATGGGTAGTGTCATCCCGTGTGTGCGCAGGCCGTAAATCTGAATAAATTCGACATTTTATATCTTGTGCTAATTTTGGACAATTTCAATGCGTTTCGATGCAATCCGGGCACTTCAAGTGTCTGGATTTCCGAGACTTGAGGAAACTTCGAAATGCATCCGGAAACATTTAGCATCAATTCTTCCCGCAGCTTTCTAATTTTGAGCGTTAAATATATCTCGATGATCGCGTCTCGAGTTAAGATTCCCTGAGCGCGATGTTTATTTCAAATTGATGCAGACTCTCACTCTCGGGTCGTAATTCACCGTAACATCTTCTCTTCTCAAGCCGCACGTGATCGAAACCACTGTACGTTTACGCGTCTCTGCGGAAAAGAAAAAGATTCATTGCGAATATTATCATGCGGAAACGAAAGCGAAATTAACAAGCGGGGAACGACGATCTAAGGTAAATCTCTCTTCCTGTTCCAGGCTACAAGGAAGATCTCCAAATGCGGATACCTCTTCGTCGCGCCCGGATGGGACTTCTCGAACCCGCTGAACCGGACAAAAGTGAGTCCAGCTGTTATCACTTGGCCGATATGGCCTGAATATCTTTCCGATTGCGCGTCATCGATCGATTGAATTACATCGCAAAGACGAGAGTAAAAGAGAGATAGAGAGAGGGGGGGAGGGGGGATAGATCCTCGGGGTCATCGACGATCGGAAGTGCGTGGGCGCGCCCGGCTCATCATCGATCACTTCCGTTTCAACGCTCTCGGCTACGCGACGCGTTATCGGCCGACGTATCCGTTATCGATCGGCGGATCGTAGCGGGCGCGCACGCTCGTGCAATTTTCTCATTATCGAGAAAGCGAGGATAAGCGGGCGCGTCATCGGCCGCATCCTCCGCGAGGCTCTCCTCGCGATACGTTTTTCCACGATCTCGCGATTCGCCTCCGCGAAACGTGACTCCGCGGAGAACACGTAAAGCCCATTCGTCCGCGCGTCCGTTTGGCCGAGGCCCGGCTTTATTTAACATTTATGACGCGCTGCGCAATGTTGTTCCTTTCTAAACTTTCTCCGATGTGAAATATACGATCGTTAACACTCCCGGTACGCGAATACGCGGCGCTTCTTTCTTCTTTTCCTTATCTCGACGTGCGGTGCCGACCTGCGTGCACCATGGAGAATCGGATTTTCCGCGGACGCCTCTCGGATCGCGTTGTCGCTCTCGTGCAGGTCGGCCGAACGGCCGATTGATCGGTCGATCGATCGATTGGTCGATCGCGGCGAATCTGCGTCAAAACTGCGAGAAACTCGGATACGGCCAGCTCGTGGAACAACTTGTCGTTGGTATGATTTATGGTCTTTTAATGGGAGTTACGGTAAACATCGGTTTCCATCGTCGGTTTACCGTTGCAATTTTCTCCGTCGAACGCTCTCCACGGTATGTGCGATTTGATTGACGCGTCGCTCGCTCACTCACCCGGCTGCGCCCGGGAAACGGCGCGGGTACCGTTAACGGAAAACGCGACTGTCGCGTCGAGGAAACCGGGGATCCGGCTAAAACGATAATAACAATACGTAACGTCGTTATATACGCGCAGGGCGGATACGTGCGTCGCCGGGTGTCGGATGAACAACGTAACCTTTCGGAGCCGCGCGAAGCGTTCGTATCACACGTATTCACGCGCGTACGTTGGAGCGACCATCTGCCAATTAAGGAAAAAATGATCGTGCCGCGTTTAGTTCTTGAATCACGAAGGAAATGTCAGGCGAGATGTCAGGCGAAACGCGGTTAAGTCGTCAGCATTGAGGATACAACGACGACAACCTTTGGTCGGGGGAGATCGCGCGTTTACCTGGCCGCGTGAGAGTTCCGTGTGTCACGCCGCGGAATATCGGTCGTAATTAGCGGACACGCGGACTCGTATTATATATTCGCGAATTGGACAGGAACGTTCGGGAAAGCGGCGAGAGACGTCGGTTTCTTGTCCGCCCGAGTGACGCGCGCGTGTGTCTTCGGGATCACGGCTCCTGATTATAGCTCCGAGATTTGAGCAATCGGCAATTATCGACACGTATCCAGCGGAAGCACACTCGCGTTACCGCTTCTGCTGGTCGCGCGAATAGAAAGCGGTCTCTCTCTCTCTCTCTTTCTTCTTCACGTGATGACCGTCTTTGGCCTCGATACCGATCTCGCTCGCGATAATCTCGCCGGATGATGTTCTATGACAGGCCGACCGCTCGATTTTTGCAGCAATTTTTCGAACTATCGTGAATTAGAACGCTTTCACGAAATTACGTCTCGCTTCGACCGTCCGATGGAAGTGCGACTTCTTTCGCGCGATGTAGCCTCCTTTCGGTGGACTATCAATATCTGTTGCTGTTTATAGGATTTATATAATAATTTAATTTAATTTCATTCATAATTTGATTCGTTCAGTAATTTTGGAACGGTCGATGACGCGCGATTTTAACCGCACCACTTTGTGCGCATGTGTGTTGCGTTTCTCTATATTGTTTTAAGGTTTCGTGTCTCGCATTATATTTTATACATGTTAATTACTGATTTCCATAAATCTCTTTATGGCTGCTATAACAACACTATAAAGTTGAAACTACCCATCTATAAAGACATACGACATCTATAAATGTAATGGCATTTCAAGATGTATTATCCATTAGTCGTACTTTCGATGGCGCATCAAGGAGGTCATTCATAAATTATCGAGCAAAATTACGCTCCTATACTTTCATTTCGCTGCCTAAATATTAAATGTTAATTTGAAACGACGTTAACGCAGACATATATATACAATATTATAAATATGAAAACAATTTTTTATTTTTTATTTTTCTTATTAATGCTATTTTTATGCATCAGTTGATCTAATAGAAATGCACAGATGATGGGAAGCGGTGTATAAATGTTTAAATATGTGTATATATATATTTCGAAGATATTAAGAATAGAAATTAAAAATAGCACCCTAATCTTAAGGAACGTATAAAAGGTACAACACGTATAAAAAGTGTTAACTTCAGTTACATATATCTCAGCTCTCGAATAGCCAACCTGTTTCTAATTGCATGAGTAATGAGTTAGATAATATTTCCATGTACATGCACATGCCATGTTCCATGCAATGCAAGCTTCATCGAATTCTTATCAAGCTCATTTCATTTTACAACCTTCTTTAAAGTGGGTTAACTTTTGATCCAGGATCTAAATTACGTCCAACTTTTCATGCCACTTTTAAATGCACAAATGTAGATCAATTTGTAGTTTTTTCATCATTTTGAATTATGGATGGATAAATCCGTAAACACGCGTGAGAACACCTATATAGACCTATCTTTACCTGTCACGCGTTATTGGCGCGGTATCTTTTTATTTTATCGTTACGTCACTTCTGACCCCCGGCAGTCAACCCTATAACGCCATCGAACAGCTTTCCATTACCGTTATTCCGAGCCGCCGCGGAGACCGCGTGCCGCTCGCAGAAGCAGGAAATAACTCGGTGAAATAACAACTCGCTTCATACCGTCTCGATTACCCCGGCGCTCTCGGTACAACCGATTAACGAATTATTGTCGTTCCAGCCGCGGTCGAAGGTATCATCGAACGATTACATGGACCGCGACGCGAGCCCGTAAATTCCGGTCGTTGCGCCGCGCCGGGCCGCGCTGCGAGAGACTCGCGTCGGAGAAAGTGAATAATTAGAAGCTGGCTCGAGGCGAGCCTCAAAATGCCTCCGAGGCCTGAGCGACGAAGCGGTGCGTAACAGCCGCTAATGCGCGATACCGCGATCCTTAATTAAGTGGACCTTGTTAATTCATGCGCGACGCAACACGCCGACGTCGCGTCGAGTTAAGCTTTCCTTCTCACTCCTCTCTCTCTCTCTCTCTCTCTTTCTCTCTAAGAGAGATAATCCTAGCAGTGTGATATTTATTTCCTTTTTATTTTTTCGATTGCATTAGCATCATATCGTGGGATATCACATTACACACAATCCGATCTTGATACACGATATTAAATCATCATGTATCTACGTCAATTGTTAATTAATTAATTATTATTATTAATTGGTAGTAAGTTACTTTTCGTAATGCATTATATTTATCGCGTACTTAAAGAGGCTCTTAACTCTATGGTTAAATTTATCTATCTGTTTGTTTGTCTTTTTCTTTCTCCCCCGGCCAACCCTCCGCGTTGACAAATGCCGTTGCTTACGTACGACTGTTTACCGTAGCCGCTTTAATAACGATCTTGGGCGACGCGGCTTGGGCGATACTTTATCGTCCCGGGTCGGTACTTAGGCGGATCCCGGCATTCTTCGCGGATTATTACTTAATATTTTACGACATTCCTGTACCGCGATTTTTTCCCCCGTTCGGCCGTATAAACGCATGCGCGAATATGCTCGCGCATATTCGCGAGACTTTTTGCCACTACGGGCCTTAAGATCTATCGTTATTCGTGCGCTAATAGGTTGGGCATAATTAACCCTCGAACGATCGCCCGTCTCGCGGAGGAACGCGAGCGGCCTTCCGGAGTACTCATGCGCCTCGTGCGCTGAGAGAAAACAAAATCGCTAATCTCGCCCAAGTTATAGTCGTTCTCAGTGTCATCCATATTCCCCTCCTTATCCTAGCGAAAAAGTAATAACATTATACACGTACAACATGTTATTATCATTAGCACTTGCTGCAAAATTCTCCTCGTTATAATTATTTCACAACGTAATTATGATCACAAATACCGAGCACTTTTATCCTCGGTGTGCGTTGAAACGTCAAAGCGACGTCTGTAAAAGTTCTTAGATAAATATCCCGCGTACATGTAAGGTGCGACAAAGGCGATGTCGTACATTCAAAATTAAGAGGAGGAAGATCTCCGACGAGCGGTCGTTCAATTTAGCCGTACTGGCCCTGGTTGTGTATAATCGACGATCGAATCGGTTCCCGTGTCGCTCAATCGGCCAGTCGCGCGACTTACACGCCATGCTCGGCCAAACAAGATAAATCCACGCTATTTACATTCACAACCACCGTGCCAGACGTATACACCGTCCGGTGTTTTGGCAAAGCCGTCGCGCCGCCGTCAAGACGAATTTACCTTTCGGCTTTGTTCACGGCCGGAGACGACGTACGGGCAGGCGGAAGACTCGCGCGGCATTTCGCACGTCTCGAATTTCACAACCGGACCCCGCGAGTCGCGCCGCGTATTACAACGTCGGCGCGTCCGACGATATAATAAAGCGACGCCTTCTATTTTCACTCCGGTAGTACCTCGAGGCATCGAGAAGTCGAGAATGGTAGGAATCTCTCACGGATCGTGAGATCGAAGAGGATCGATGGAACTCCGTCGTAATATTGCGGTTAGAGAGGTACTCTCGCGAGCGCGCGTAACTACTCGCGCGCGCGCGTCTGGAAATTACATTTTACACCGCCTCTCCGTTTCTCGCGATTTCCCGCCGAGGCCGAAACCTCCCCTGCGGATCGACGGACTTATTCACGCGGATTTTCATTACCTTATGCGGCATGAATCTCAGTTAACTTACAAT